GGGGGGGGGTGTTTATCTTTTTTCCTTTCTATTTTTTCTTTTTTTTTTTTTTTCTCCTGACCTTGACTTTCCCTTTATTTGAAGACTGCCAAAGCAGAGAAGCTGAGGCTGAGGAATGTGGGGGAGCTGAAAGAAAGTCCTTCACACTGATGCCTTTTGTGCTGCAGTGTGTAAAAGGCTGAGGCTGTCACTGAAATGCAAATGTGTGTTTTTTCACTGTTCTAAGCTCCATTTCTTTCCCAAGTAAACAAGCATGCTGCATGCTTTAAAGGCTGATTCCATTTGACATCTTGGTGTGGTTCAGTGCTGACCTCAGTCAGTCACTGACAGCACATCACTGTGAGCCTAGGGGCTGAGGAAGGATGGTACATCCCCCTTCTCAAGATGGGAAAGGGAGACTGAGAGAAGCAAAGGTGGAATTGGGCAATTCCCAAGTTTTTGGGTGATGGTCCTACATCCTGGACTAGGCCAGGGCCTCCTAGCCTTGCTGAAGGGCATTTCCCCATGCTCATCTCTGCAGCACTCCCCAGTAAGAAACCCCATAGCAGATGGAAGTGTCCCTGCCCGCCCCCTTTTTGAACTCTGAATAATGTTTTAAATACATCCCCTGACAGATCTGACCCTGCAGATTGAACCAAAGAGCCATTTCTCATCACCAGGGCATGGGATCACCTTAGTCCCTACCCCAGAAGCCAAAACATTTCAGTATTCACTGGGTCTAAGGGATTATTATCCTAAGAGTTATTGTCAGTGTTTACCTGAGAGCCCCAGCTCTTGTCCCTGATTTTAAATACACCATTTTAGGCAGTGATGCATCTTTTCTGACCTACTGCTTGCTGGTTTGGGCCTGCAACAGGACTTTGTAGTGGGAAACCTGCCTGCTGGGAGCTATCCCCTCTCACTTCTCTGCAAAGCACAACAGCCCCTTCCTCCCACATATCAGCTGATTTTGAAGAGATGAAGTCTTTTGCTCCCAGCAGGCAGAGAAAGGGGAGGCCACCCATTTATGACAGATGGAGATCTGAGCGTGTCCCCTTCCTCCTGGAGCTCCTGTTGGGGGCTCCCATGTGTCCCCAGCAGGGTGTCACCACAGTTTGATCCCATGTGTCCCCAGCAGGGTGTCACCACAGTTCCTGGGCTGCTGTGGTGAACACGTCAGTGGGGTTGGTGAGTGCAAGCCCAGACAGCACCACCAGCCCCGATCCCTACCCAGAGGAGCCACCACCTGGAGAGGTTGGGATTGTGTCACAGGGTAAAGTACAGGCAGGCTGTCCCCGTGGGTCCGTGTGGCTGACATGGCAGTCCTCGACTTGTCCCTTGTACCTGAGCTTGGGCTTAAAAAACACCAGGGAAGCCACATCCTAAAACCACCCTCTCTCCCCACCAGCTCCAGCAGCAGCGGGGACGCAGGGTCCCGTGCATGTTTTGGGATGCCGGGTTTGGAGGAGGTGAATGTCGTGCTGGCAGAGCACTCAAACCTCCTCCTCTTTGTCCCCCTCAGCCTTCCAGAAGAATTCAGGTGGGGAAGGACCGGTGAAAGTCACCTAGTCCTAACACCTGCTCAAAGCAGGGCACACATGGGGCTGCCTCAGGCCTGCATGTCTCAGTGCTGGACACCTGAAACAGAGTTTAATCACCCTCGCTGTGAATCGTATTTTCCCCTTCCATCTCGTCGGAGCTTTCCCTGCCGCAGCCTGGGACTGCTGCTTCCCATCCCCAGGCTGGACACAGCCGTGTCGGGAGGTGAGTTATATTTTCCTGAATGCTGTCCACGCACGGACAGGCGAAGGGACATGTCTCCTGTTACCCCCCTCAGTTTATCCGGAGTGAATGCCACCCTTCCGCAGGATGCACGGGGATTTGAGGCCGGATAAAGGGAAGCAAGCAAGCCGAGGAGCGCGATCCCTCGAGGGCTCGAGCAGCGAGTGGGAGCAGCGAAGCCGCGTGAGATGCTGCGCAGAAACCACTCAGCTCCTTAAAATCCCCCTCACGTCACCATTGCTTCTGCCCGTGCTCCGCCCAGACCCTTCTTTTGCCTTTTGCAGGGCTTCACGTACCTGTTGTGCGGTGTCCTGGCTGCCCCCTGCTCCCGTCCCGCTGTCCAGAGCAGCAGGAGGTCCCCTCTGGCCACCCGCGGCCCTCCGGAGCCGGGCGAGCAGCGGCTGCTCCCACAGGAGGCCGCCTCTGTCGCAGGCACAGCGACTGCCGGGCTCTCCCCGAAGGGGAGGGACCAAACTTTGCCTTAGTTTCCAGCTGAGACAATCTTTCTGGGAGAAATCGTCCCTGGGCCTGGAAAGCGAGTTTCTGGCATGGAGCCATGGCCAACAAAGCCTGCGCGTCCCAGCGGAGCCCGCGGCCGCCGAGGTGCTGGGCCGTGCCCCGGTATGGCAGGGACAGGGTCATGTGTGGGCTCCTCGTGTGTGAATAATGGATCTCCCGGCTGCGGCTGGCTCAAGAGGCAGGAACCCCAGGAGAAAACTCCCCCGGATGGGTTGCAACACCCCGTGCAGGAGCTGCAATGCCTCTGGCCGGGCGAGCAGCGGAGGACGGCGCTTTGGCTCAAGGTTGTGCTGTAAAAATACAAATCTTTTCCTCTGTCCTTATGAGAAGGGGATAACTGTAGTCTAGGGAGACGGATTCCACTTTCGGGTACAACATCTGGGGTGGCTGAAGGTGGATTTAGCACAGATCTTTACTTGTGAGGCAGATCTGCGCTCAGCCCCCTTTGTATAGCCCTGGTGTTTGCCCCCTCAGTAACGCTGAATTCAGGGAATTCACCTGAAAAACAGTATCAGTAAGAAAAGATTAATTTTGTGAGATAGCAACAGCTGTGAAATGCCCGTATGTGTGTCAAGGCTGTAGCAAAGGGAGGCAGCAGGGAAGGAGGGGAGGTAGAATTTGGCTTGGCTTAAATTGCTTATGAAGTTGCCCCTATGGACTGTGCCCTTGGAGAGCTGCTGAGCTCCTGCCTTGGGATCAGCAACTTCCTTTCTCTTTGGATGTATGTGTGTGGGTATGAGCTGAAGCTGAAAAAGAATAAGAAAGTTATATGAAAAGGTCCAAGATCTCTTTTTTCCTGTGCCTTTGTCCACCCCTCATTTCAGTGATGGTCTGGATGCATTAAAGTTTGACATTTTCAGGATAGATCTGATGCTGTTGAAAGGTGTTGCAGAACAAGTCAGAAGATCTCTTTTTAATCTAAAGGAACAGGTTATTCAAGGTTAATGAGAGAAAATGAGGAGAAGGAAGCAGCACGCAGGTGGTGGTTACAGTAACAGACACCAAATCCCATGATACTTCTTTGGCCCACTAGGAGCTCCAGAATTTAATTTTCTTTTTAATATGTTCAGATTTTCCCAGATGTGCAGGAGTCAAATTCAGTATAAGACAAGTATGGGTCTTTCTTTTGGGTCTTACCTACACAGTCAAACCACCCAGGTATGAAACACGCTATGAATCTTAGTTTAAGACCATTCCTCCTTGCCCTACCATCTCTTTTTTTTTTTTTATAAGCTTAATTATTATTATCCCTTTTTAGAATTTTCACCAAAGAACATCAGAGGATGCTTGCAGAGATGTTTCTGTCATGGCAATAAAATGCTACCAGTAAGAGACCTGCAGCACTGGCAAGGGAGGAGCCAGTTCCCATGGTTAGTGAGCACAACAAACCCATGGCAAATGTTCAATGTGGCTTTAGCTACGATACCTTTAAACAAAGGACTGCACTTTCCTGCAGATTTCTGTGTCTATAGGCCAAAAGTCACCATCAGTCTGTGATCACTGGTTTGAAGATAATTTCCCCCCCGCCTCAGTATTTTGGTTTTTTTTGGTGGTTTGTTTGTTTGTTTGTTTTGGGTTTTGTTTTGTTTTTTGTTTTGTTGGGGTTTTTTTTGACAAATCTTGGTTTCTCATGGTGCCTGACTCATTTTTAATCCAGGTGCTGCTTGACCTATTACAGCTGCACCTTCCTGCAGAGTGCAACATGACAGAGCTCCATGAAGCCGTGGCTGTGGGTGACTATGACCTGGTGAAAAAGATTTTGAAGGCAGGGCGCTGTGACCCAAACCATAAGGATGCTGACTGGCATGACAGGACCCCCCTGCACTGGGCTGCTGCCAAAGGTAAGGGCACCCCCAGCTCTGTTACCTGTGAATGGACATCATAAAAGGTGATGCTGATCACCTGTAATTATGTCTAGGCTGGCAAAATCTCAGCCTGTATCTGGTAATTTTGTCCTTAACGAGCAAAAAAAAGGTTAAATATCCATTTAAATGGGAACTTTGCCTACAAAATAGTTTATGGGATTGCTGGTGAAGTGATTTTTATCTTTTTATTCCACCATACAACAATTTGCAATTTACACGTAGGGAATGGCTGCTTTTTCCCTCCCATTGCTTTTCTAAGAGCTGACTCCTTGAGTTTATTTCTCATAAATAAACCTGTGGGAAAGAGCAGGAAGTCAAATCCACTGTATTTACACCAGGTATTTATCAAACCAAATAGAAGAAAATAATAACTGTGTTTTACATTGCTCTCCCTTTATATCCCACCTGCTTGAATGAACAATGCAGGACCAGAGCTGTTTGCAGCTCCCATTTAGGACCTTCAGAAGTGTCTAGTAAAGTCAAATATTCCTTTGCAGCCCAAAAAAAGAGATGATACAACAATATATAATGTATAATTGTACACAGTGTAAAATGGGAAACTGGAACTCTACTCCTCTGTGCTACAGTGTTTGTTGGGATCTAATGTAATTGCATCGGTCTTTGCTCAGAAATCAGATGTGTGATTTCCTGTTTTACACTTATGACCATGTTTTTCTTTTGTCCTGATGGATTATTAGGCATTTATACATCAGCAAAGGGGACTGAGCTACTTAGCAGAAATGATGGTGAGAAGTTGACAGGGCCTAGATGTGATTTGGAATAGTTTAGCTCAGTCAAGGCCGTGTGAAGTGGTGTAGAAATAATTTTTTTGCTTCTTTAAGCAATTCCACTAGTTAGAAAAATGTGAAGGTGAATGAAAAGTAAGTAGATTCTCTACTTGCTATCCAAAAAACCCTTTGTTTTAGTAAAGCTGTTCTTTTCCTATTCTCAATGTTTAAATTTTATTTTGCAATTGAACTAAAAACCAAAATGAAGCAATGAAAGATCCAATTGGTCAATGACTAATTGAGATGTGCTGTTCAGAAATTAGAAAGCCTTACGATTTGGCTGTTGTTTTTGTTGTAAATTTCTTCAGGAAACAGTCTACTTTGGGAGAAAATAACCAGTATTTCCTATTCAGTATCATTTATATGAAAAACCAAATAGTCAGGTGGGTGCAATCCGTGTCTGAGGGAATTATGACCAGCTGTGTGTGACCGCCTTCTGCGTCCTGAAGGTATAAATTCTAAAGCATCTTCTCTCCTGGTTTCGCTGCGCCAGGGCGCTCGGACCTGGTCAGGCTCCTGGTGGATCACGGTGCCCGGCACTGCCTGCGGAGCGATGTGGGCTGGACCGCGGCTCACTTCGCTGCCGAGGCGGGGAAGCTGCGGGTGCTCCGCACCCTGCACTCCCTGCACGCTGCTATGGATGCCGCCGACCTCTTCGGAGACACTCCCCGGAGGTTCGCGGAGATCTACGGACACCGGGAGTGCTCCAAATTCTTGGAAAAGTGAGTAGTGGTGGCAGGTCCTGCTGCGTCTGCAGTGAAAATTAACCTTACCGCTCCACAGGGGACCGGAGCAAACACAGTGAGTTACCTATCTTCCCACCCAAAGCCTGCTAAAGCCCTGACACACAAGCTGTAGTGGATGAGCAAACACGGGCCTGTCACGGGGAAGCCGTGAGAACTCATTCTTTTATTGCCCTGCCTCCTGCGGTTTCCATTGGTATGTTTTTAAAATCGTTACCACTTCGTGACATCATTGTTTTTGTAAGGATGTTGCAGAGCCGTTATTAAGCAACAGAAATGAAAGCAGCAGCTGACAAGTGTTAACCCCTTACAGTAGTGAATAGCAAATACATGGGTGGAGTTGTTCAGGAGCATCCCTCAGCAGTTGTGTATGTGTGTATATATATTGATATGTGTATGATTTGGCTTTTCTTTTAGTAAAGAAAAAAAAGCCACCCTATTTTTTACATATTCATTGAAAATTAAACCACTTAATAAGATGGCCATATATTACTTCCAAATTTTGGGAACATCCATGTTGTCTTCATTGCTTACAGTTAGCACTGTGGCAGCACGTGTTGTAAAAAATATGCTTTTTAATGGTTCCCAGTTGCTACTCCTGTTTTTCAGCCGTTGGCTTGGCTCATGGGTATTTTCATCCTTGCAAAGGTGTTTCCCAGGATCAGGATGCTTTACTGCAGAGGTTTGAGCTGTGTCCCATCCTGCATCTCTCTAAAGGAGTGGGACATATCACCAGAGGCCATCCACCTTGTTCAGTGTAAGCCACAGTCCCAACACAATTTGGAATTTAAATACACTGCCTGTGAAACCTGCATATGCCAGACCCTGGAGTGCTGAGAGCTCTGAAAAGTGTTTTCTCCCTGTGTTTTTCTGTGACTTGACAGTCTTACCATCATCATTTACTGGCAGAACTTTTACCCCAGGACACGCTTCCACATTCTCAAGACTGCTTTAGTACCATGTTTATCCCATATTTTTTTTAGTAGACATTTATTCAACTCAAAATCTCCAGCTTGCCAGTGCAGCACAGAAGCTGAAAGTTCAAAATCAGGCACAGTGACTGGCCAAATGTCTGAGGTGGGAAGTGCCTTACAAATGCCACTTTTCATTGATCTACATAAACCCTTCTGTAGCTACTGCTGTCCTTCTGCTGTACTCCTACAGCTTATTGGTTCCTGCTGAAATACCCCATGCCCACCTTTTATCTTCACACAGCATCAGAGTCCTTCCATAGGAAAAGACAACCAAACTGCACAAAATCCCCCTGTACAGAACCCAAAAACTTAGCAGGGGAGCCACAAGCTCTGGTTTCCAAGACCAGAGCTATTATGGTAGCTTTGCATTTTACCTGCTCACCCAACACAGTATTATAGAATGGTTGGAAGGGACATTAAAGCTCATCTCATTCCAACCCCCTGCCATGGACAGGGACCCCTTCCACTAGACCAGGTTGCTCAAAGCCCCGTCCAATGTGATGGAGCTGAACACTGCCAGAATGGGGCATCCAGACCATCTTAGAAAGTCCTGGTTTTGGATCTGACGTGCTATAATCCCTCACTACTCACCACTTTCCTTCCACACAGATGTGTCAGCCCTTCTCACCCTCAGACCTTCAATTTAAAGGCATTTAGGCAACCAGCAGCTGATAATGAAACTTTGCAAATTAGATTTTTTTACTACCTAGCCGGTGTCTAAGTAGTAAGGCTCAGGTGTGCCAGATCTTTGAGAATGGGGCACTGTCTTCCAGTGGAGATTCTCTTTATACTGTTCTCAGCTCTTGGTATACCTAGATTCTATACCAGAACAGGTAAATATTGTCTAACCTAGAGGGTGAAAGTCTGCAGACTTCTGCCCCTGGATGAATAACTTACAGCAATTCCTTGCCTATTCAATGCTGTTGTTTTTGCACTAATCTCATCTGTAATTTCTGCCAAGTCTGTAGCATTTGCTGTGCCTTGGATGAGCTCCAGAGCCATGGGAGCGAGCTGACAGCAGGGGTAGGGGAATTGCCTGGGTGATGCCAAAGGGCAATGCCTGTGGCAGGCAGAGGTGCCTGGGAGAATGACTGACAGGTTGATTGACAGAAGGATTGACATCCTGGCCTGAGACACCTTAGCAACAGCCAGTGGTGACTCAGGTCAGCTGATGAAGGGCTTTCTGAGGTGAATGATTGATTTAGGGTGGAAAACTTGTCTTTCAGAACCACAGGCTGGCCTGAGTCACCCCACAGTTGCATGGCTCAGTGTGGCTGGGAGATCTAATGACTAGGAAGATGCTTCAAATGCCCAGTCTAGAATATTTTATAAGACACACAAAGCCTGTACAATCACCTCACAGCCATAACCCAGCCTGTGGGCAGCCAAGAGTTTATCACTGAGACTCAGGAATATTTTTAAGCCCAGCCACTATAATTTATGACCACAATGGATACTTTCACCCTCACACACTGGCCTCGCTGCCTCACATCAGCAAACTTGGAGTAAACTAGGAGGAATGGTTGTCAATTGTAGTGTAATTTTGATTACTGTCTGCTCCTTCAGATGTGCAGAAGGTCCCAGAGGTGATGTCCAGGGTCAGGCAAAGCCAAAGGGAACAAGCAGTACTGTGTGTGCTGCAGACAGAGAGTTAAGAGTGTGCTTGCACAAAAGGCTGCACAGCACAGTGCCCTCTACTCAGCAGTGTGTGGGATATAAATATGAGGAGCATTTTGTTACACAGCAGCCCTGTCAGTTCTGGATATTTGTCTGTCATGCAAAAAGAGAGAAAAAGGCAATTTTTAAAACCATCTGATGGTCTGCACCAAATGCAGGGCTGATGTGCATATCTACACAGGCCTATGAACAGATCCTTCCTGAATCCAAATTCAGCCCCCTCTAGCACCACCATGACCCTTGCATGCTGTTTGTCAGTCTCCAGGTGTTGCCAGCTGCATGAACTACCTGCCTGCCTGGGCTGGGCCACTGAAGTGTGCTGAGGACTGCATCCACATGGAAATATTACATGTATTGACATGGAAATATTAACATGCAAATATTAGGAAAATTCCACTGCCAAGTATCAGTACCACTCACTGAGGTTTGCATGAACATGCAAAAGTTAGGAAACAGCTGCTTTCAAAACAGTTGCTTCTGAATAGCAAATGCATATTTTGCATCAGATTTGGTTTGCATGAGAAGGGCTTTACTCTGGATGCTATAAGAGCTGCCAAGAATGGCACAGAGACCCTCAACTCATGTCTGCTGCCAGCTTCTCTGCAAAGTGACAGCTGTTGAAACTGTACCAAAGGGTCCTGCTATCTAAGACCAGGGCATATATATACTCATGTGTAAATAAATAAACAAATACATTTATATTTAAAGTCCATAGAAAGAGATTTCTTGCCCTTGGGGGCAGATACTTTGTTGGGAAGGTAGAATTAGAAAGAAATTATAAATATGACTCTGTAGCCAGAAAGGCTAAGGAAGAAATACAAATGAAAGCACGGTTTGAATAATTCAAAGAAACCGGGCTGGTATGCCAGAACACATTCTTTCCTGCAATAAAACCAAGCTGAGACCCCTCTCCCCAGCCTTATAAGGAAAGGTCTGAAGGACCCTGAGATAACTAAAAATATGCAAAAACAGTGATTTCTATAGGTTGCACACAAATGTTACTGTATTAGTATACTTAGAAAGATTGGTTAGTAAAGGAATAGAATATTCAAATGTATAGGTTATATAAGTAATTGTAAAAGAGAATTCTCTCTCTTGGTTTTCTTGGTTCTCTTAGCTCTCTCTTTTAGCTCTCTTGGCTCTCTTGTTTTCTCTTAGCTCTCTTAGCCCTCTTGCCTCACTCTTTCTATGCTCTTGCTGCTCTTTTTTCCCTGGTTCTCTCACTTCTGTTCTGTTACTCTCTTTCTTAGTAATCTTAAGTCTTGAGCTCATGTATTCATATTTTACCCTCTTTTGTATTGTTCTCTTTGAGCCCGCTTTGAGCTCTATCTACTGGCTCATAGCAGGCTCCCTCTCTCTCTCTCTATCCCACGCCCTGAAATAAACTTCTAACACCTAACTCGATTATAGAGGTCTTTGCCGTGTCTCAGACCGTCCCCAGAAAGCGTCTCCTACAATACTTAATAGAAAACAATAGGGTAGTTCAGTTGGAAGGGACCTATGCTAGTCCTATGGCCTGACCACTTCAGGACTGACCAGAAGTTAAAGCATCTTATGAAGGGCATTTTCCGAATGCCTCTTAAACACCAGCAGCCATGGGGCATCAACCATCACTCTCAAACACAGGCTCTGTGGAGACCTTAGAGCACCTTTCAGTTCCTGAAGAGAGCCTACAAGACAGCTGGAAAGGGACTTTGGACAAGGGTATGGAGAAGGGGGAATGGGCTAGGTAGGAGGGATTAGCTATATTTGGAATAAATTCTTGACTGTGAGGGTGGTGGGGCCCTGGCACAGGTTGCCCAGAGAAGCTGTGGCTGCCAAATCCCTGGAAGTGTTTAAGGACAAGCTGGGTGGGGCTTTGAGCAACCTGTTCTAGGGGAAGGTGTCCCTGTCTATTGCAGGAATAAGATAATGTCTAAAGGTCCCTTCCAGCCCAAACCATTCTGTGATTCTGTGATATAGAAAGCCCATGTGATGAGATCCATCAGTGTGGAGTTGCTGGATTTGCTCTGTGCTCTCAGCTAGAACTGCATTGCACTCGTGACAGAAATGCTCTATTACAGACAAAAAGGATTTTTCCTGATATTGGATGGTGTTTCTGACAGAGGCTCCTGAATCCTGAGTGCCTGCAAAATCAGAGCCCTGCAGGAGGAGGAAAGGATTTGCCTTCTCTTGGGCAAGATTTATGCTTGGAATGTCCATCTCTGGATCCAGGCAGTGCTGGGGCCCAGGGGGTCCCTGAGAGGGGAGGTTGGGGCTGCACCATGCTGGACACACTGCGGTGTTTTCTCAAGTGTTGGTGGCAGCAGGGTTTTGACCAGACTGAGACACAGCTCCTGACCCGGTGGATGGGACCCTGTGAACAGAGATGAGTGTGTGCTGTGTTCACTCTTGGTTTCTCTCCCAGAGCAGAGGTGGAGAGCAGGAACTACCGCAGGAAAGCTGCGCTGAGAAAAATCCCCTTAGACCAGAGAGATGAAGACTGGGAACTCAAGAAAGAAGAGCTTCAGAAAAATCCACCATGTTTTTGGGAGAAGTGCACGGCTTCTATTCGAAAGAAAAATGGGGAAAAAAAGGGGAAGCGGTAGTGTGCCCTGCCTGTTTGGTGCCTCCAAGTCTTTGCAATGCAGAGCAAAGGCACTGGCAGACCTCAGGTGGTTCTGCAGGGTGTTATTTGGGCGAATGGAGGAAGTAGTTGGCTACAAGAGTGCATCCTTAGGGATATACTGTAAACAATCTCCTTAACAACTAGGATTGCTTCAGCTTCTCTATGTATCTGATCTCAAAAATAAAAATAACTGAAGAATATGTTTAAATATACCAATACTCTATATCACTGCGATGTTTAAAATTACTGTGATGGCAGCAGTTACCCATATTGTCAGGGAAAAAAAGTAGTCTTGATCCTACGTGATTCACAAAAGGATCTTGGACCATGGTTCTGCTTGCTCTGCTGAGGTGTGTGGCCTTTGCTTCTTTGCTTGTCACTGAGTCAACCAGGAGGCTCTACATGGACTTGCTCATTACTCTGGTAATGCCTGTCTCTTTTCTTGGAAGTGGGATGTAATTGCTTCTCCTGGATGAAGCTGAGATGTTACTGTTGAGTTTTTACTGGACACACGGGTCCAACAGCCTGAATCTTCCATTCCTGGTCCAGCAAAAGGGTAAATGTGCTCCCTTCTTGCTGCTTTCAGACAGCTGTGACTGCCAAGGGTATTGGAGCACTGCCTTTTGTTAGCATTGCCCCCAGCCATTTTTATATCTCTACAAATAGGAATGCTGTGCAGCTGGTCCTAAGCTCTGCTTCTGCTCATCAACACTTTCCACGGCAAAAGCATCTTTAGCACTTTCACTTCTCAGTCAAAAAATTTGGAATGTGACCCAGAGCAGTTTTCCATATGTGCCAGCACTGGGCAGCTGCTCTCATTGACTTCTGACAGCTTCTCCAGGCCGGGCAGATGCTGTCCCCATGGGCTGTGCAGGGTGGCTGTGCTGATGGACACCCTGTCCCCTCCAGTGCCAGTTCAGTGGGGTTGGTGCACTGAGCTGGGTGTCACATTGTCAGGGGTTTCATGGGGATGGAAGGAGGGACACCAGTGTGGTTTGCTGGGGCTGTGGTGTTTTGTGTGGTAACACATGCAAGTTGCTGGGTTTTCCTGCAGAGTCTTGTGGCATGTGAGGTTGTGAGGGATGATGTTGCACTGGATATAAGGAATAAGATGGATCTTCTGGGGCATTTTTGTGAAAGTGGTTGGGATTGTCAACCCTATCCTTATATTAAAGGATAAAGTACATGAGCAGCAGCAGGGGAAGAAGGGAGGTGTGGTTGTTCCTGTCAAGACCTTTCACTGGGGACTGGTGTCCAGAAGAGATGCTTAATCACCTGAGCTGGTGACAGAAATGACCAGTTCAGGTTTGCTCTGTTCTGCATGTTTCACCTGGTGTGAAGGGTTGAGCTTAGGAAGCAGCCAGTCCCCCACCCAGCTGCTCCTTCACTGTCACCCATAAAAAGGTAGTAGGAAATAGGATGAAGAAGCTGATGGATTGAGATAAAAGACGGTGAAATCACTCAGCAGTTACTGTCACAGACAAAACAGACTTGACATGCAGAAAATTGATTTAATTTATTTACCTATTGAAAGTACAGTAGTACAAAGAGAAACAAACACAAACCAGAACCTGATGCCTCCACCACCCTTTCATCTCAGGCTCAAACTCACTCCTTCATCCTCAGCTCCTCCACCTCCTCCCCAACAGCCACACAGGGGGAAGGAAAATAGAGGTGCAGTCAGTTCATAGCGAGTTGTCTCCTCCACTCCCATTTCATCTGTTCCCCTGATCCAGAACCAAACCTGGGTGTTTCACTGAGCCAGAGTGCACTGGGAAAAGGCAATGTCATCAGCAGGTCAGAGCAGGCCAGGAGAGCAGTGACACAGAGCAGGGAATGCTGTCCTTGCAGGCAGAGAGGACACGCAGGGCTGGAGAGGGAAGGGGGCTCTGCAGCCCCTGAGCTCCCTGGGGCCGTTCCTGCCTCGCTCTTTGTGCATCAGTGACACCTCTGGGGGTGCCAGGGCTCAGCGTGTTCACACAGAGCTACCAGCCACTGCCAGACAGTGATACAGCCCATAATATATCACAGAGCACAGGGCCACAGCAGAAAGAAAGGAAAACCAAAATAGACATAAAACCTGCAGTTAATTTCAGTTGTTTCAATCAGAAAATGCCAGAGCATTTGAGGCAGGTTGGCAGTATTGTTATTGTCCTTTTGCATCCAGGCCCTGTACCAAGACTAAATAGATTATTATAAATTAGCATAATTATAATAATTTATAATTATTATAAGTTATTGACAATAATCAAACTCAAAGAATTACCTAAATGAAATTATACTTGAAGATACATAATATAAGTCACATTAATTTACTTAGCGGTATTTGAATATATATTCTTAATCTCAGTCATAAGAACATTTCTATCATCTGTAGTGCTTGGAGCATTGCATTAGAGATTAAACTACTTGTTTTCTATAATAAAATATTACCATTTTTGAATGGGCTCCAGATTTTATTACAGTTCCTAACTCATGCAATCCTTACACTTCACAAATCTTTCTAAGGGAAGAATCTTTAGCAGTGTCATTTCTAATTTGGGATTGCTAAAAATCAGAATAAGGGAGTGAACACCTGGAAAAGTGTACTGAAATACTAAAATGAGAAATGACATATGACTTCTCTTCTTTGTGACATAAACCATATTTAAGACCAAACATACAAAGTTGATGCTGTACATCACTAAGAAAGAGAGAATAGATTTCATGGCTCTGATGTGGGCATCCATGCTGAGGTCCTTCATGGAGTTTTTCTGCATCTTGCGTTTGTGTGTCCAGAGGGAAAAGAGAAGGAAAACAGCAGAGAAGATGACTGCCATGAATGAAGCAGCATATCCAAATCCACTGAGAAAAAAAGAAGGGAAGAAATGTTTATCCATTTTGATACTTGGTTTCCCAAAATTTCCTTGTTCGGTGGAATTGCAGTTGTTGCAGTGCGGTTTATCAGCGATGTCGTAGGCAATGATGCCAATAGTCAAAGCTAAAATCCCTGACCCCAACAAGAGCCAAGGCACCATCCTGTCAATTTTTACTTTCAAGTAGATGAAGAAGCTGTTCCTGAAATTGGCAATTTTTATACAATAAAACCCACAAAGACAGGCTGAAAACCACAAGTTGGAATGATCAAAAAAGGCTTTAAAAAATATAGCTAGTTGAAGTATGGGGCGAACATAAAGGTAATTGGGATAAATAAATGAAAGAAATAAATATGCCCATGAGATGCACAAAGAGCAAAACCTGGAGGATCCCAGCAGCAGCAAGATCTTCTCATTAGAGTTCAGGCTTTTCTTTTTGACCCAGGCAATGCAAAGCACACAAACGATGAAAGCGTTTATCCACATGCCAGCAAACACCTCCAGGGTGACGATGGCCACAGTGGTGGCCCCGTATGAAGTGACATTGGATTGCTGTGGAGAGTGACAAGCTTCCATGCTGCGAGCTGGGGAGCAGAGCTGTGCTGGCCAAGGGGCTGTGGCAGCAGTGCCTGAGGCAGGTCAGTGGCTGCTGTTGCTGGAGTGTCAGGGATGGCAAGAGGAGCTTTATAGAGCTGCTGCTGCTGCTGCTGGTGCTGCTGCTGGTGCTGCTGGGGGGGATTTTGGTGCCGCTGCTGTGGGGAGCAGGGCAGGTGCAGGGATGTAAATGTGCTGGGTATCCCCTTACTCGGAGCCAGTGTCACTCTTGACTATTTGAATGTTGCTTCAGGGGGGCTGTGTTGGGTGACACAAACAGCCGAGATGTTTTTCTGCGGTGGAGAGTGTTGTGCATTTGAGAGTGAGCCCTGTTTGATCA